TGGTGACACTGGGCTTGGGGCCTTGAACCTAATCTCTCTCCTTGTGTTTGCAGCCTGCTCCAGCTGGTGATCTCAGGCCCAGTGCAACAGTCGCCGCACACCGCTCTTCCCCCTGGGTTCTACCCGCACATCCACACACCCCCGCTCGCCTATGGCGCTGTGCCAGCCCACCCAGCCGCCCACCCAGCCCTGCCTACACACCCAGGGCACACCTTCATCTCAGGCGTGACGTTTCCATTCAGGCCCATCCGCTAGGCTGGCCCTTCTGAGCCGCCAAGCGGCTTGTGTGCCTTGCACCTGGGCCAAGGAAGCCTTTGGAGAGAGGGATGCTGGCCCCAGGGACAAGGACCCTTGGGAGGCAGCAGGTGGTCTCTCCAGCTGGTAGAACCGTCTTGGTACTGATGTCCCAAGTTGCTGGTGCCCGGGTGCCTCCTACCTGGTCATGTTAAATATCCAGATTGGATGGATGAAAGGGAGTGCACTCCGCCCTCTGCAGAGAGCGCTGCGGGTGTTAAGTATGCCCGTCTCAGAGTGACGGCGGCACTCGTGCACGCGCAGCCCGCCACCAGGGAGCGCTGGCGGGAAAGCCGTCCCTCGGGTCCATTTGCCCTGCCTCAGGAATGTGCCGTGTCTCTGCCACCAGTGCGAGGTTTCCGCAGCTCCGTGAGCTCAGAGTGCGGAGGGAGAGACCCATGCTTGTATGCAGCACTGGGCACTGCTCAGGGACACCTGTTGGGATTCCCCATCACCTTGGAAAGGATCTTCTGTGTTTTATTTGCGGGGTATCTCTAAATTTTCCTTTCATGTGTTCAAAATAAATTTTTTCTAAACAGTTTTATAGGCATTATGGAGTTTCCTTTTTGTGGTGCTGGGATTCAGACCTGTGGTTTTGCATGTACTCAGCGGGTGTTTTTTCAATGACCCACACTCCCAGCTATGTGGATATCTAAGTTTTTAAAAATTTGATGTATTCACATACAGCCCATACGGGTTGGCCAGCCTGGTGGATTCCAGGTCAGTGACCAGCAAAAACACTTTAAGGAACAACACCCAGGGTTGTCTTCTGATCTCCAGGTGCATGTACCTGCATCTGTACACACATGTGCACATGCACACACAAAGTGGCATGTGGGGGCACCCCTGTAATCCCATCACCTGGAAGGTGGTAACAAACAACAAAATAAAAAATTGCTCGAAAGAGCCATGAACTCTATATAAAGACTATAAGAGGAAGTGGCGAGGGTTGGCTCTAATGTCCCTTTGAAATGTCTTTCATAGTTATGTGTAAATCTGTTGGCATGGGACTGAGGAATGGCTGTTTGCTGGGAAGCCTCCTGGAGGGAAGAGCTGAGCACCGGGCTAGACCGGGGTTTGGCGTTGGTGCACACCATTTCAGAAAGTTCTGAGGAAAAGTTCTATCCGTTCTCACACGATTTACTCAAATTCAGTTACTCTCTGAGCACTGCGGCCTCCAACAGACTTTCCCAGACTGAACTAGGACCTAGGAAAATGGCTCTTTGGGGAGTTTCTGGTCGTTTTTAAATTACATGTATGTGTGTGTGTAGGTATGTGTACTTGAGTGCAGGTCTCCACAGAGGGCATGGATTGCCTGGACCTGGAGTTACAGATGGTTGCGAGCAGCCTAACTAGGTGTTGGGATCTGAATTCAGGCCATTGGGAAGAGCAGCAAGCCTCCTTAGCTGCTGGACCATCCCTCTGGCCCTGTTTGCTTTTGTTTGCTGTTTTCAAGACAGGGTCTTGAGTAGCCTGGCCTCACCTTGAACTCTCTGTATAAAAATCATGGAGGACCTTGAACCTTTTTTTTTTTTTTTTGCATTTAGTGTGTGTGTGTGTGTGTGTGTGTGTGTGTGTGTGTGTGTGTGTAAATCAGGAAACAACTTGTTGGCATTGGTTATCCTTTGGTCTTTTTTTAACTCTTACTCTTTGGTAGCCTGCTACCCAGCTCCCAAATAAATACACAGAGGCTTACTTCTTATAAATGCCCAACCTTAGCTTGGCTTATTTTTTGCCAGCTTTTCTAAGCTTAAATTTTCCCACCTATCTTTTGCCTCTGGGCCGTTACTTTATTCTATTTACATTTCTTTCTGTCTCGCTACTCCATAACTGACTGTACGCCTGGCCGCTGGCATCCTCCTCTCCTTTTTCTTTTTTTTTGCTCCTCCCTCTCTTCTCATTCTTTTTATTCTCTTAGCGCCAGCCCCGTCTATTTCTCTCTCCTGGTTACCTATTGACTGCTCAGCCCTTTATTAGAGCAATTGGGTGTTTTAGACGGGCAAAGTAACAGCTTCATGGATTTAAACAAATGCAACACATCTTTACATCATTAAACAAATATTCCACAGCGTAAACAAGTGAAGTACATATTAAACTATATCCCACAATGTTACCTCACAAAGTGATCAAACTCAGCTTGCCAGACTTGGTAACAAGCAACGTTACCCTTTTAGCTATCCTTTATCCCCGGTGTTTGCTTTGTTAGGAGCAGTTTGAGCTAGAATTCATTCACCCAGTTTGTATCCCCACATGGTCATTCCAGCGTCACCTGTTTTAGAATCCCGCAGTCTCCCCAAAAGATGGCCGATACACCTCAGCACGCACTTACTCCTCTTATCTCCCTGCTTGAGCAACCCCCATCCCCTTTTTCTCTATAGTCTTTTCTGGAGCTATCTGTAGAGTCATGCAGACTATGACCTTAGTTGAAGTTTTTAAGGGTTTTGTTTTGTGTGTGTTGGTGTGTTGCTGCATGTGTGGCTGTTCATGTGTGTGCAGCAGTACCTGCAGAGGCCAGAACACGGCTTCTGGACTGAAGTTTCTGGCTGCTGTGAGCTGCCTGACTGGGGTTCCGAGAACCTGAAGTTGGATCCTCTACAATGTGCTTTAGTCACTGGGCCATCTTTCCAGCCTTTATTTACTAATTTATCTAGGGAAGAGTTCAACTGTGTAGCCCTCGATGGCCCAGAACTCATAGAGATCTGCCTGCCTCTGCCTCTCAAGTGCTGGGGTTAAAAGTGTGTGCCACTCTTCCTAGCTTGAGCATGTGAAACCTCAAAACCGTCTCCATAGTGACACACTTCCTTCTCCAACACCTAACAGTGCCACTCCCTGGGGCCAAGCAGTCAGACACACGGGTCTCTAGGGGTCACTTCTATTCAATCCCCCACAGTCACCATGGACATTTGTATATAAGTTTTTGTGTGCACATGCCAATTCTTTTGGGATTCACTGGATTTGCAGAATTCTTTTCTTGCTTCAGCAACTTTCCATGGGAGACAGGTGTCTTTCTTTCCTGTGGCTGTTGATAAAATACCCCTATAAAAGCAACTTGAGGGAGGAATTTCTTTAGCTCATGGTTCCAGGCTACAGTCCATCTGTGCAGAGAAAGCCAAGGGCATCGGGAGCTCAAAGCAGGCGACCACATCACACCCACAGTCCGGAGAGGAGAGAATGAATGAATGCACACTATACTCAGTTCACTCTTTAAGATTCAGCCCAGAGCCCGTGAAATGGAGCTGCCCACATACAGGATGGGACTTTCCATCACAACCCAGTTAAAAATCCCTCACAGATGTACCCACAGGGTGACCTAATCTAGACAGTTCCTCACTGATGCTCCCTTCCTGGGTGACTCCAACAGTGGAGGTGACTGGTGCCATGAGAGAGGGAGTTGTCTAGGGGAAGTGATGGGGCTCATGCCAGGTGGGAGAAGGGAAGGAGGGATGGGCAGATGAGAGAGCAGTAGGAACTGCCTGGACCCGTGGATGTGCAAACGCTTCTGGAAAGAATCCAGCAGTGGAGGAGAGGGAGAGGTGAAAGATCCAGGGACAGGGCACTAGAAGATAGCTCAGTGGGTGAGAGAGTTTGTGGGGCAAGCATGAGGACATGAGTTCGAATCTCCAGCCCCCATGTAAAACACCGGCCATGGATACTCTGTGCCTGTAACCCGAGGGTTGGACTGGGCAGAGAGAAGAGAATGCTGGTCCTGGTTGGCTGCTGGCCTTGCTCCAGGTTCAGTGAGATACCCTGTCCCTGGAGTGTGCTAAGTGGAGAGCACCCAACATCTTCCTCTGGCCTATTTAAATGAGCATGTGAATGACGCACACACACACATACACACACACACATACACACATACACATGCACACACACATTCGTGCACGCGCACACACACACACACACACACACACACACACACACGATTCAGGGAGGAGAGAAACATTGGAGTTAGGGCGGTGGAAGAAGGCACACCCAGTCTTTACCCATATGTTCACTGCCTGCTCAGTTATCCTTAGATGCTGCCTGACAGCCTGTCTCCACTTTCACCGCTGGAAGGCTCTATGATGCCTCAAGTTATCTAACTACCAGAGGTCCTTATGATGCCCAATTTTCCTGCCTCCAAGTCTGGGTCCTTACTGTTGCACCTGTGGCTCAACCCGTGGCCTCCTGCACCCTTGCCCCTGAAGGGGGGCTGTTGGTCTGCAAGTCAAGCCTCCAGAGTCAGGCCTTTCAAGCCTGGCTGCAGGAAAGCCTGCCAGAACAGTAATAGTGTGAATTTGAGACTATACTATAAGCAGGGAGACAGGAAGAAGAGCGGGACTGTGAGCACACAGAGGGTTCTTGTACCCCTCGAGGGACATCTACACTTCATCTCATAGGCAGCTCTGGTTTGCCAGACCTTTGAGTTTTTCAGCCCTTGGTGGTTTTGTTTTTTTGTTTTTGTTTTTTCCTGCTCCTCCTCCTCCTCCTCCTCCTCCTCCTCTTTCTCCTCCTCCTCCTCACGCTCCCTTCCCGCCCCCAGGCAGGAAACAACTTGTTAAGGTAACAAGCAAACGGAGAAGTCACTGGGGCTGCGGTGGCTCAGAACGCTGGATGAAGAGTCTGGAGAAGGAAGGAAGCTGGGGTGGGGGTGGGGGCTGGGGCTACTGGACTACTGGAGGGAGAAGAACCCAAAGAGATAAGGGCCGGTCCCCCTGCTCCCGAACATGGCCCTGCTGGAGCTGGCACAGTTGCCACCTGTCTATCCTAACCAACTCAAGATTTCAGGTGTGGGCCGGGTTGGCAGTTCTGGACCTGCTGGAATCAGGAGAGGTCTTCCCCACTAACTGGTTAATTAAGTGCTAATTAGACCAAATTTGTACGCCTGTCCGGGGAGGGGTTCCCTGAAGCCATGCCAACGCTTCAGAGGACATTGGGGGTGTCGGCTAGGAACCCCTTTCCTCTTCCATCCATGCAGCCTCAGTGACAGTCACCAGCCGTGGCGCACGGACACGCGCACCGCACTGGGCGATGCGTTGCAGCAGCATGCGCTGCGCGCCCAGCACCGGCGAGCTCTGGGACGCAAGCAGGGCCAAGCATTCTGTCCCCATTCCCACCCACACCTCCCCAGGGGGCCCTGGTGAGTGATCGGGCCGGCAAGGGTTAAGCTCACAGAGCTGGAGGTGCGGGCTAGAGCGGCGGCGACCGTGGTGAAGGCAAAGGCAGCGGCCACGGTGGTAGTGGCGGGGACCGGGGCGAGGGGGGCGCGGCACGCAGCAGGGGCGGGGGACAGGATGCGGATGCCGGGGGACTTCCTGTGTCGGCCCCCCAGAGCCCCCGGTCCGGCCCGGCCGTTTCCCGCATGGACGCACTGCCTTCACCACGGTCGCCGCC